TCCTTAGCTGCATTGCATATTATTGAGACTTCAGCTGGAAATTTGAGTCTGGTCTTGAAGCCCAATTTTAAGCAAAGTTCAAATAAACTGGAGCGGATACAGAGAAGGCAGTGAAGATGATCAGGAAGCTGGAAAGTAAGTTTCAAGAGAAGAAGCTGAATGAATGAGATGGGTCTAGTTGGGAAAAGCAAGGTAATAGTTTTCAAGGACTTGAAGGGGTCCCCAGAAGAGGACTGAAAGCTGTTTTCAGCAGCAGAGAAAGTGAAAAAAAAAGAAAAGATGGCAGATATGACCATGAAATCAAAGTCCCACCCTGTTTTTAGTGCACTGGGATGCCCATTAAAAAAAGGCAGATATTTAATTGCATTGTTGCAGCCACCATTCTATTTTATTTTATTTTATTTTTTACTTCTCCTGGGGGAGGCACCTGCAGTGCAGGGATAACAGCTTGAAGTTACATAGATTCCTGTTAAATGTCAGAAGGAACTTCCTAGCTTAGCAAATTCACAGAGACACCAGGCAGCCAGTGACTCAATCTACTAAGGCTTTGAAAGAATGTGAAGCTCTGTAGCTTCAAACTGTCCTGCCTCAGCTGTGGACTTCTTACTGTTGGGTGGAGAACTCCTATAAAGATCTGCTACCCTCCAGGAGCCATGGAAGAAATGGCAGGTTCTGGACAAGATTTTATGCTGCTCAGAAGTCTAAATCATGTTCTTCCAAGCTCTTTGGATGGTGAGGAGGGAACTCGGTCAATCTTTGTATCAACGGTTTCTACGATTTTTTTGTGGCTTTGGAGCTGAACTTGGCAACTTCAAGACTGGTGGAGTTCAACTTCCAGAACTCCTTGGCCAGCCATGGAATTCTGGGTGCATTACAAGTTTTAAAGTTGCAAAGTTTGGAGACCTCTTCTGTAGCCTAAAGAAAGAAAACTGTGCTTTTATTACAAATCCTTTGATTTCTCCTTATCTTCTCCTTATCTCTCATTTCAATTCCGATTGTCTGTCTTTGGAAGATACCATGGTGTTGACTGTTCCTGGCTGTGTTTCTTCCCTTCCCCCCACTTTTCTAACAAGTCCTGTCTTGGGACTTCAAAGGGAGAGATGCAGAAGAAAGCCCCTGCCAGGTGAATTTTTGTATGGGACCAAAACTGCTCTTTTTAACTTGGCATGACTGATTTGGTACTCTCAGCCCGACTGCCCAAGAAAAATAAAATTGATTTCCATGATTCTGACAATCTCTTTCTCTTTCAAGGGCTCCGTGGTGTTTCTCAGCATCATGACCTAGAAGAAAGCCCAACTTGTGACAGAAAACACCACAACCTTCATCTTCCCACTTTGGGGACCCACGCTATCCTCTGTGAAAGCCTTTCTCACGCCATTTGATAGCTGGTGATGCCGATGTGAACTCCTTCCTTTGCTTGGTGCATTTAATTTGCTCGGGGGAGCGAGGCTGCGTCTTTCTCACCTCTGATGGAAAGGCCACATTCCCCATTGCTTTGAGCAAAGATTTCAGTTTTGATTGGGTGGGTGCAAACATTTGGCTTCACAGAGGAGGCAACTGTGAAGTCTCCCATGCCAGTGTTGGCTATAACCGTTGAAGGAACTGAATTTTTTCTTCTTAATATCTTCCTGCCAGCTGTAGATTACAGCTACAAAGGGCATGCGTTACTGCTTTATTTTGTTTTTGTTTCCCCATATAATGCTTTATATCATTTGTTATTTTTATAATTAGTCACTTTATGTTTCCTAAGGGAAAGAGATGGGATCATCATCATCAGAAGAAGAACAATAGCAAGACATGGCTTTTCCAGCAAGCGGGCCTGACCTAGGGAGGATTTTAGTTAGGGACGATTTTTAATATAATTTTTAATTACGACACAGCTACCAATATTTGGCTTTTAATTTGGTCTTAGAGGGGTTTTTATTTTGGTATTTATTGTATTGTTACTTGTTTTTAATATGCTGTGCACCGCCCTGAGTCCTTCGGGAGA